GAACAGTAATAAATTCATCATGGTCATTCATATACTTGCCACGCATGACCTTACCCCAAAGCGTATCTTTCTGTTCATGCATTTTCCAGCCGAATCTCTGGCTTGTCTAAGACCCAATCCACCTTTTTGGGCCACAAACTTTCTTCCAGGTTGATGATCTAAGTCGTTGAACGGTTATTGCCTTTTGGCGTGTGAAGTGTCAGAGTTAGAATAGAAGGTAGTGAAGAACGTGGCCTTTAGGAAAGGGCACGAGAAGAGTCAAGTCATCGATCAATACGACCTCTCTTCTCTTTTGCTCGGAGTCCTTTTAAGTACGATAGACCTACGCGGAGGTGTCGATAACCGCCTGCAGCAAGAAAAGAAGCTGCAAAGTTTCCCTTCCTCACCTCAAAGTGTGCTGAAGAATGCAGTGCCACTCCCTCGCTAAAAGGCTGATAATATCAGTTATAAGGCTTCCCGGGTGTCGACTTGCATGTGTTAAGCATATAGCTAGCGCTCTTTCTAGTTGAATCGAGAACGCATGGAGGATATTATAGATATCCCCGGCGAGGATTGATGCCTGGTGCGTTTGCCGGGAGTCGAACCCAACGAACGAAGCGAAGTGAAGTCATAGAAAGTTTCCGCATGCGGATTTCGAATGCCCAACTTGCCAAGAAAGAAAGAAAATTCACTTTTCCCAAGCGCCTTGGTAAAGATGTCAGCCAGCTGTGCGCCAGAGGGAACATGAGTAGTGGTGATGAGACCCTGCAGAAGAGCATCACGAACAAAGTGACAATCCACCCTCTTTCTTTAAGGTTTAGTGCGCTCGTGAAAAACCGGATTCGCAGCAATATGCAAAGCGGATTGACTGTCACAATGCAACTGCATAGGCTGAGAATGAGCGACACCAAGACAAGACAACAATCCCCGTAACCACTTCAGCTCGCACAAGGTAGTAGCCCATCGCCCGATATTCAGCCTCAGCAGAGGATCGAGCAAGAGTATGCTCTTTCTTGGTACGCCAAGAAAGAGGAGACTGACCCAGCTGAACAAACCAACCCGAAAGAGATCGTCTAGTGAGGGGACAAGTCGCCCAATCCGAATCACACCACGCATAGAGTTGAAGATCACAGTCAGAACGAAGAAGGATCCCCTGACCAGGAGAGCCCTTCAAATACCGGACCACACGCAGTGCAGCGTCCCAGTGAGACTGTCGCGGTTGATGCATGAACTGAGCAAGCATATGCACAGAATAGGACAACTCAGGACGAGTAACTGCTAGATAAATAAGTCGCCCTACCAAACGCCGATAGCGCTCAGGATCGGACAAGGGTCGATGTAATTGAGGCGAGAGGAAGCTGATGATTCTGCTCCAACGGGAAATCAGCTGGCTTGCTCCAGTCCGGCTTCAACAATAATATCGAGAGCATACTTCCGCTGACAGAGAAAGAAGCCAGAAGCATTCCGGGCAACCTCGATACCCAGAAAAGACTTAAGCAACCCAAGATCCTTCATGTGGAAACAACGATTCAAATAACTCTTAAAAGCTGCAATGGAGGAGGTATCATTGCCAGAAATAATCAGATCATCAACATACACCAATACCTGCAGATGAACAGAACCACGATGCAGGGTAAAAAGAGAATAATCATGGTAGGACTGACAGAAACCATAATGTTTGAGAGCCGTCGCCAACTTGGCGAACCAGCAGCGGGGAGCCTGCTTCAAGCCATATAGAGAACGACGGAGACGACAAACTTGTCCATCAACACCAGTACGAAAGCCAGGTCAATTACACCTTCCCTCTCCCCAACTTAGAAGCAAAGCGCAGTTCAGTCATAGAGGTCTCATCGAGCCTTGGTCGCACCCTAGCCACAGAATGCCTGATTGAGTTCGCCAGGGACATCCTCATTCTAACTTCCTGGGATCAAGACAGAGATCGCCCTCACATTTCTCCAGATAGGAAGAAATTCCATAGGTTTTTCCCGAAGGACCAAAGGCTGCTGTTTGGTCTGGATAAGCAGGGGCTTCTCTTTAAAACTCGACCTCCGCACCCTGGACTCTCGACTGCTCATCCGGAACTCGGGGACTGGACCGTTACCTGATCATCCACCTCTCATTGAAAGGTTGGTCAGAGGGGTGTTCTTTCCTTACACGGGTGGGAGTTATTAGCAGGGGGTTCATGAAAGGAAATGATCTAAGTAACTTTATCAGCTATATGAGATGCAAAAAGTCTGATCTAAATCGAAGTCTATGAATGGAAATGAAGGTGCTAACTTTCACAGCTATGTCAGACGTTCCACTTTCCCCGCTTCTTCTTCTCCGTAACCTTTTTTTTAGGCCTTTCACACACTTGTGCGATCCTAACAACTAGCTCTTTTAACTGCCCGAGCAAGTTCGCTAATGACGTTCACCCGTGCGTACTAGCGAGCTGGCATGCTTACTACTGGCGTGCTTGCTTACACCATTCACTGAAAGACTTTTACCTACGGGATGCTCTTTCACTTTCCATGCTCTCCTTTCGCGTCGAGACTCACTTTGCTCTCCTTAGGCGAATGGACGTAAAGAATCTATACTCTTAAGATCTTCCTATGAAAAGGAATGAAATGCTTCTATTGCGATAATCTTGTTGTTGTTGATGCATATAATTGTTGAAAGATCTTCCTATGCACATGAAGAAGAGTAGTTTCGGTGGTTATGTAAGACTGAGCTTCTATGCGGTTTACGATGACCGAGAAGGAGGCGGAGGAAGGGTGTTGAGTGATTGGACAGAGGAATATCATCCAAAGTGAATTATCCCACTTTAAACAAGTCCGGTATTATCGATGATTTGATGTCCAAAAGGTGCTCTCCACGGGGAGTGATGAACGGCTTGTTCACACAAATGGATAAATGGCTTTGCCAAGGACTGAAAGAAGAAAGAGAGTGGGTGATGTCTCTTCAAGTGAGCCTGACGAATGAGCCCTTTTACCGCTCCCTTTGCTTGTGATTGAGGTAATGTGCCAGCTATAGGGCTTGGTCTATCCGCGGATCCTAGGCGCCGTTAGTATTTTCGTGAAACCAACCGTCGTCCCCTCTTCGCTGCGTAAGGGTTAGCTACTACGTCCTCTGAGCCTATCGGCATAACACCTACTTCGCCACTACGCGACTCAGCTCTTTCAGACCCTATCGTGCGTGCCGTTCGCCGCTACACTACTTTGCTCAGCTACTTCTTCCTCTTCGCTGCTAACTAATCCTATCGACCATAAGGTCTAGCGTTGAAGCCCAGCCCAGGTTTGGTCCTAAGGTCTAACACAGAAGTAGGGTTCTAAAGCCCCATTAACAACCGCTTCACCGATAAGAGAACATAGATGCCCAAGAGCTAAGAAAGAGTCGAAAGCAAAGAGAGAAAGGTACGGCAGGAAATAAACAAAGACACAACGCTGCGCAAGATGACGAATGATGGTTCACCGAACGGAGGCGCTGACAAGGCTACGCGCTATACCCACTACTACAGAATGACGAATCTCCCTCAAAGCCTTACGGAACTCATCTTCTACCCGCAGTGATAAAGAAAGATGAATTCAATAGAAGATATTCATCTATTTAAATCCTCACTAGCGTTAGTCGTGGTCGCGTTAGCGACGAAGCTACATTGTTGTCTCTGCTGTTATGTCAAGATCTTTGCTCAATATGCCGAGTCCAATGTCCAACCGATTCCTAGTTCACATCCTCTAGAGCAAGGCAAGGATCCCCTTCAGTAAGTAGGCCGCAAGCCGCGCCTTCTTTCATCGATGTGCAAGGAAGCGCTTCACACATTACCTCCAGGGGCTAGACCCCGATCTTCGCCAGTCCAGGCACCTCTCCAAACGGGATACGTTCCACCCGTAGTCTCGGGGCAAGCTGCCCCTCTTGCAAATCAGCCAGGTTTCACCTCCCAACCCACATCGGGTTATGCTTCTCAACCCCAACCAGCCGCCCGTTTCATCGAGTTACCCGGCTCAACCCATGACGAGCCACCTTCACCAAAGCAGCTACAACCTCCCTATGCCAAGTCAACCAGATCCTACCCTATACCATACCCATTTAGGATCTCCTAGAATGGCCAGTTCCCATTCCCAGGCTAGACCAATTCAAGAAGCTCCATTCATGCCCACCTTCAGGTCTAAAGAAGAGTTTGATCGCTACATTAGGGACCTAGTTCAAGGCGCCGCATCTCAGCCCTTCTCAATAGAATTCATGTGCCATTGCCTGAATGTCAATCTTCCCCATTGGTATAAGATCCCAAAATTCCAAATTCCTTTCCTTCACTTCGCTTCGCTTCTAAAGTTGGGTTTGGTAGACAGATAGGTTGATCAGCTCCTTGCTACTGACTAGAGGAATGGAAATCAAGGCACCCCCTTTCTTTCGCTTTCTTTCCTTCTATGGTTCGTGGCGAGTGAATGGCAAGTCTATCACCATCCAAGTCGGAACTCAAGGCCCACATCAGCAAGCAGGAAGGAAGATCGTCATTCTACTCTGATTTCCCCTATTAGTTAAAGCTGGCTTCCTCTCTTTCTCATTCAAAGAAAGAGAAAGATGAAAGTCAAGGCCTCAACAGAGACTGAAGCTTCTGAAGACTTGAACCTCCCCATCGGTCTGTCTTCGACCCGATG